TCAGAAATATAAAATGGACAAGTTGACAGTCACATTCACGCTCTCAGTGCATTTCTTTCGTCTATCATTCTTCCGTTCTCAATTACATAGGACATCAGGCAAGTTATGGGGATAATCTTTATTTGTCTCACACCTTCTGTGGGGCAATAAACAATGCAGGGTGGAAGTGAGGCACGATAAGCTTGGTGTCTTGCCTGATTGTAAACAACCGGGCGGCTGGCGCTTATTTCAGGGTTCTTATTGACAAAACCACTCAACTCTTGGTGGCTCTTAATGGAGGGTCAAATGTACCAAATTTTCACTGAGTGGCTCTTAATTGAGGGTGGCGCTTATTTGCGGGTTTTTACGGTATATTTAAAAATTCCATTTATGTTCTATTAGTAGCACAAATGATTACTTGAATGACTGGTGTGGCTATGGTGAAAATAATTTGTATTTTTAATGATCATGGATACAATACACTCAATTGTTTGTTTCATGTGCTTCAATTAGACATGTGCTTCTATAAAGCAAATCATTATTTACTCTGACATCCAGTTATTGATGTACTTCAAATTCATTCCTGCATGGTAGTGCACTGCTTTGTCTTCTCATTCATTCATTGTTTTATTTTCATTTTAGCAACTAAAACACTGAATCGTGGTATAGCAGAGTTTATTGTCATGGCGGCAGACACAGAGCCATTGGAAATCTTGTTGCATCTGCCTCTATTATGTGAGGATAAAAATGTACCCTACGTTTTTGTAAGATCCAAGCAAGGTAGGGATTGGTGATAAAAAATTGGTCTTTTTAAACCTGGAGTCTTATGGTTAAGACTGATGTACTCTCAGGGTACGTTGCCTTTGGCTTTGGGAACAGGGATTGCTTCTATGATGCAAATGTCACATTAAAACCGGTCAAAGTCAATATTGTTTTGATCTGTATTTGTCCATCTATAAAGATTGTTTTGGGCCAAACACAGCTGTTGATTTGAACACACCATTGTATTGACCCCTATATGTAATATTGACATGTTATAAGTGGTGTTCTCACTGGACGAAATAAGCCGTTGTCACAATGCCTTTTATTTGAGAACGTTGTTAAAATGTGTGTGTGTGAACAGAATACTGTGGAATACTTTATTTTCGCTGGAATTAATTTTCGTTGAAAAGGCTTTTAGGGCATTTTGTATGGAATTTATTTTCACTGATTTGTGATAAATTTAATGTGAAACATAGGAAAAAAAGTATATTCGCTGGATTTTATTTTCACTGAAACATCCCTTCAGCGAAAATAGCGAAAATAAATTCCAAGCGAAAATAAAGTATTCTACAGTACGCCGTTGTCACACTGGCTCTTGCACAATGCAATGTGCCGTGTGAACATAATACGACGGCTAAACGCCCTCTATCACCGACTTATTTACAGAAACAAAACAAATGCATTCACCAGAGGGGACGCCATTTTGTCGACTGACCATATCATTTGTTTATTGACCTTTCTGAGATACTAGGGCGCAAAACACTGGTGTTTTTACTAAGTGAAAACGCGAGCAAACAATTCAGCAGATTATCTAATATTTGCACAACAAAAAAACAGTTTTAACACCGGCATTTTTTAGACGTATGAGAACGTAGCTATATTCCATACAGAGGCATGTACTCTGTCAGTACAACTTCCAGGAATGATGTATTGAGATTTATGGTTCAGATATTGTATACAAGTTGTATCACAGTCGGAGCCAAACATTCACCACCAGTCTTGCATAACCAGCTATGTATTCATATTGCAAACATCTAGGATACTGGACCAATATTGGCCTCTGCCCTTCAGCAACTGTTGTGATTTGCATATTGTTTCTGTACTGTAAATTATTATTGAGACACAATATGGACTTCAGAGGAATTAATTAACGCATTTCTTTTTTAACATTTCAGCTCTGGGCCGTGCATGTGGTGTATCTCGTCCGGTCATTGCTTGCTCCGTCACTATAAACGAAGGATCACAGCTCAAACCTCAGATACAAGCAATACAGCAGAACATTGAGAGACTGCTTATTTGAGAGTCCCTATTTATTCAAAAAGAGAAAAAAAATACATTTATGTATATCTCAATTCCAGGCTTAAATTTTTTTTTAAATTCTGTTTCTTTTAATTTTACATCATATTGTTGCTAATACCATTTGTGATTTTTTTTCCCCATGAGTATTACATCTTGCCTCCCCATGTATTTGAATTTACAAACTGTTCTCAAATAAAAACACAATTCTAGAAAATGGACTAGAAGTTAAAAAGCATCAGTTAAAATGCTTCTACTGGTGTGTCAATACCAACAAATTTAAATTTATTTTTTCACAATTTAATGATTTTTCAATATCAAGAGCATGAAATTGTGAATTTAAAATTTGTGGACAGGCAGAAATGTAATTTGTATTTTTTTGGAAGAGTGGAGTGAACTTTGGGTGGCTGCTCTACTGTTGAAACAACAAATTGTTTTCAAGAATTGACACCACCACACCCAACAAAACTTATTCTTTTATCATTTTGATCATGTTCCTTTGACCAAAAAAAAATATTTTTCTGCATTTTAATTAAACTGAGAAGTATTAAAAATTCTAAGTTTACACAATGAATAAATGATCAACATTCATTAAACTCTTTTGTACTTGTCACAGATAATTGTAATCATGATTGTAATGTTTTGAAATAAACTATGATAAACAGAAATTGTAATATTTTTTTTAACACCCAACTACCCAATATAATGAGAATTTCAGGTGATTCCCCTTTACTGAGAACCGGTATACTGTAAAATACTTTATTTTCGCTTGCAACTAATTTTTGCTGAAGGAATGATTCAGTTAAAATAACATCCAGCGAAGATACCTTTTTCCTATATTTTACATTCAACTCAACAATCTGAAAATAAATTTCATACTAAACGCCCAAAAAGTCTTCAGCGAAAATTAATTCCACTGGTATTTTACATTAGCAGATTGCTATTTTATCACTTGGAAGCAAATTAGTGAAAATAAAAAACTGTATTACCCCCTCCCAGTTTGGTTTGCATGTAGGTCATGACAAATCTGAAAAATTCCTGCCAAAGCGTACAGCAGTATTCATGTGTATCTGTCCTTGAGGGAGATGAACATCAATCAGGCTGGATTTCGTGGTCGTGCTAAATAAAAATTATATTAATCATATAATTTAGCACAAAAGTAAATTGCCAACCAAACATGCATGTTTCCATTAGGAACTCTTAGCACATGTTATTGTATTTTTTGTGTGAGCAAGGACTTTTCCAAATTTGGGCAAAATTCAAATTTACCATACAACATTTGATTGCATTCATAAATTGTCTGCTCATAAACTACCAGTAGTCCAGATGTAGGTACCAATATATATCAAATTTGGTCAAAATCTTTTGCAAAATTCTTGAGATTTTGCTTGCACAGACTGAGATGAGAATATGCATACTAACTACTTAATATGCAAGGATGTGGCTGCAAAACTAAATTCTGCACAGCACGGTAAATTTGAGGTTTTGCTTACACAGATGTTTGCTCATTATCTCTTGGTAGCACATTTTTTTGAAAATATCAGGTTTTAGAGATTTTTGCTTACAAGACGCCCCAAACTCATCTCCCGTGTGTGCTTTGTGCACATGAGGATTTAAAAGCAAAAAAACTAGTTTAAAGAATTGTTTCCATATCGAAAAACAAAACTGTCCCAAATTTGCCAGTCTTCTGATTAAGATTGTCCAAATCATTCAGAAGTGTATGTAATTAAAATGTTTCAAGGTCTAGTTCAGATCCATAGTGGTTTGAAAATTTCCTAATTGATTTTAGGTATGCAGGTCACTACCAAAAGTCTAGCAAAAGTGAACACCCTAATAGTTAGCTGTGGGTCCATAACTCTTCTTGTGATGGTATTTTAATCATTTCTGGTACATTTGGTGTCATTAAATTTGTTATTTTCAGACATTAGGATTGTCGACACAAAAGGATTGTGATTCATCCCCGTGATAACCGAATATCAAGAAATCATTCATTGACTCCCAAACAGTTCAAGGGAAAGTCAAGGTTAAATCTTAAAATTATATTTGATGAATTAATGTTGCCGTACTCGCAGCTGGTCCTTCATTTGCTTTAAGGTCAAGTCACAGAACATAAATAACTGAACGGAAGATTTGATTAATTTTAGAAATGTCATAATGCATGAAGGAAATAATTCAGTCATCTAAACTTGAGTTTAATGAACGCTGTTATATTTGAAGACATTGAGACTCGGACTATTTTTTACGATATTTTGAGTATGTTAAATATGTTTGAAAAACATGATATGATTTATTGTGAAAGTATAAAAACAGTAAACAAGAGTATTAATTTAAAATAAGATAAAAACGCTAGTGCGTGCGTGCTTCGAATAAGTTGCGAAACTAGGTATGCTACTTGCTACATAAAGGTAAATCTCGGAGACCATGCACATTTGCTGCTAACGCGTGTTTATTTTACGATTTTTTATATTGTTCCCACAGAAATAAAATATCAAGCATAATTATTTAAAGATTAAACCGGTTTCAAAACTTCAATACTGTATAAGTGTGAAACAAATCTTTATGGCCAAGATAAAATAGTGCAGTCAATGATAATAACTGTTCAAGCTTAATCAGGTAATTCAGTCGATTGTCGACAAATGTTCTTCACTGAAATAATATTTCATGATATATTAATGAAGCTATAATACAAGTTAATTACTACTATATACTCTGTGTGAGTGTTATTTCATAAGTTTGCTTTGTTAGCCATCGCGATGTCGAGTTTTACTACCAAAATGATAGTGGACATCAATATACTAGTATGTAGTTGTTTTTTTATTCTTTATGAGCAGAAAGTCCAAACGCCGTTATGAAAACTGTTTAATATTCATGGTAACAGCGGCGAAGGGGCGGGGGCTGAAATCGTCAACTATTGTGAACGAATTATTATCCCATAATAAACGCTCACGGGTACCATCTAAAAAGTCATCCAAGCATTGATATATTTTGCTTCAATTGACACATTCTTTAAATGGGCACCTTCCAGTTAAGATTAATTTTACAATAAATTTACTTTCTGGATTAAAATAACAATGGATAACAAAAGATAGATTAACATTGTAAACAACATAAACAATAGTGTCCCATGATTCTTTGGTGCAATCCATGGGATTGAGCGGTTCCCCTTTAATTGTACGCTCGCGTAGACAATTGCCATTACCACGGGGATAGTTACTCTATTGTTTCAGCGGAAACCACGCGTGGGAACCATTTTCATGCTTCATTGTAAACAACCTTAACTCATCTTTGGCAATCGCATCACAAATTGTTATTTTATACCACGGGGATAGTTACTCTATTGTTTCAGCGGAAACCACGCGTGGGAACCATTTTCATGCTTCATTGTAAACAACCTTAACTCATCTTTGGCAATCGCATCACAAATTGTTATTTTTATCTACTTTTATTATATTTTCACAAAAGTATTCAAAAGTGAATTACGATTACAATAAAAATATTGTTAAGATTCTCTCCGAAGACGTGAAGAAGATATGGTACGGAACCTATTTTAGTTCAGACTAAATAATTCCCCTACAGCAAATAAAAAACAGATCTTTTATTAGCGTCTTTTTTTTATTTTTACTTGAACTGAACTGACAATTTTGATGAAGAAGTCATAATCTTAACGAAGTCGTCGAGTAATACTACCGGTAATACTAATACGAATCTGTAAATATTTCAATTCGAAACGAGTTTGATGTCAAACCAGTGTGGTGTGGATGTCAGTGCAATGAATTGTAGTGTTTTGGGTGAGTAAAGTTGTGTAAAATATTATTATACATTTTAAAGGACGGTCAACCCAATACTTACTTCACTCAACATACTGAGGAAAAGCTTAATAAGTCCGTGGACGTACTACCATTAATACATCCATGATAAGAGTCGAATGTGCTACAATAAGTTGGTAACCGTCGTAGAGGGCCCATTAAATTGGTGGGAAACTCCTATGCTGATTTTATTAATTTGTGTGATACATTGTATCAACAGGAATAAGATATTATCGTGGAAACATTAGAGGTGCCCCCGGTACACCTATTCCCCGACCATACCCATTTCCAAAAAATAAACTTGGAACTTGAATCAAATCAGCCATTCAACGAGTACAGTGCGGAACGATGTCATTTGAAAACATTCCTTGTTATTCAATCGACTAATTGTCACACGCAACGTAATATTACCGTAATTGGTATAGTACAAGTGTGATGGTTCAAATACCAAAATGGCAACAGTAACATAAAGACTTCCCTGGCGGCGATGATAACATACGAACACGGAGTCAACAGATGAGGTTTCAACTGGTACTGGTATTATTATACTCTGCAAACATCAAGTACAATAATGCAGTAAAACTCCACTACTTCAATAACTAGATACTTAAACTCCAACACAATTCAACGAGATCTCCGATCTGATCTCAGTGCTGAACAACTCCCCTATATATACCCACATTGTCTATAAATAGACCATTACATCAGCATACATAATGAGTCTGGAACTAACTACAAATTTCTAGAATGTTCCATTACCTATTCAACCAGTTTCTAAAAATTCCACCCAGACACAGTACGGTTCTAGAACATTATCAGTCACACGGAAGTGGTAAACAAGTCGTATGCGACACTAATTGAAACCTCGAGTTTCAGTTTGAATTGTGAAATATATAAATATTAGTGCCGAGTGTATCGAATTCTTTTTGACAATGGACGTGTATGTATGATTATAGCATTTTTCCCCGTCAAAATGAAAGATTTGTAAGGATTGTACAGCGCTATTAAGCTATTTTTAAGGCTTGAACTTAGGCTCCGTTCACAACACAAGAAAGGGAGTCAAAATTGCCAGCAAAGTGCGCGCAAATTCACAACGAAAGTAAAGAATCATATTTTTATTTTTATTATGAGCAATTAACTACATTTACTTTAAAATACTGGTACAGAGTCCACAGTCGTTTATTACCTCTAACTATTGAATAGACATTTACGTCAGCATAACACTCTCATATTGTTCGTTGGGCGCTGCACAGTTTTTTGTTGATGTCAAGAAAACAGGTAGATACTACCAGTAACACTTACGCATTTAGTTGTGGGGTTGTGCATTGTTAACTTTGTTAAATATTGTCTTTCAAAATTGAATTTAAAAAGCAATAACAGCAAAGAATGGGTAAATCCATGTTTTCATCAATAAAATGTTCCAGCTATATTTAGTGGACTGGAAAGCTTTTAAACTAAGTGAAATCTACACAATGAATGAAAGCACAAAACCCAAAATAGATGCATCTATAAGTAAAATTTTGTCTGACTGTCATCGTGTTGTGAACGTCATAGTGCATTCGGCTTGAACGTGACACTTGTTCTAGAAGTGAATCACCACCAATATACGCTAAATTCAAGTAGCTCAAATGTTTTCTCAAATGTTGACATGTAGTATTGACGACTAGAACACATATTATGAATACTAGTATACACCGGATTATGCATCACGATTATTGCACACACTGTACACGCTCTTGTTTTTTAATCATTGATTTTATACAACACTAACGTGTTGTTTTACCGCACGAAACCTGTTAAATGTGAAGACAGTCGATTTCTACGTCACTTGCCTGCATTGTGATGTATGCATCCCTTTCTAT